ACACCCAGAACTGTTTTGTTTTAATTAACTGTGTTTAACTCATACAAGTGTACAAAAAGATGCACCGAAGCTCATAAGACTGTACTCAATTGCTTTAGCTTTGCACATTGGTTCAATGGGCTCCTAAAATAATAAATCATAAATGTGATGAGCAGTTGCAGCACAGCTTTTTCAAAGACGTGAATGCTGCCATGAAGAGCAAGATTGTGTTCATTGCATGTGGTACTGTTTCTTTTTTTTGGCAGAAAAACGCTCCACATTTCTTCGTGCACATCTGCTTCTGTTTAAATTAGGTTGTGATAACTATAGTGTCTACCACTACGAAGTGAATTTCTGTGCATTACGGTCACGAAACAAAATCTAGGAAATCGGACAGGTGGTTGAAACATACATGATATTCACTCATCTACAGCCACACTGCAAGATAGTACGTATTTCAAGTCCTAACCTCTGAAAGTAGCAGGGAGAAAACAACTTCATATTCAAGCACAAGTATACTGAAAAAGTAAACACAATAACAAGTGTGTAATAAATGTGACCTTTATTGATCCAGTATTCGGACAGATCCACATCATGTACCACCAATTGATTTCAGGAGTGCTTGCTTGCAAGAGAGTACTCAAGTTCTATGAATATGTCTGTGCAAAAAAAGAGATTTTGCTCAGGGCTGAGCAGATAGTTTGGTAAAAAAGTACCAACAAAGATGTACAGACAAATAAATTGTACAATGCATACCTGAAGCCTATTTTCTTAGAATTGGGCCTTTTTCGGTCTGTAGGCACACACCTCATCGGTGTCCCTTTAGCGTACATGTTCGCTGCATACTCAGCAGACTGGTCATTACCTGCGACCAGAAATTCTAGCTGTGGTAACTGTGTAACTTAACTCTAACAATAAATGTTGCAAGCCTGAAATATTTTTAGGCTCATCCACTAAATACATAACACCTATGATATGGGCTCACGGCTGAGTATTAAAACTAGTGCCGACCCTCTCGACACGACGCGACATTGCAGAATTGTGAAGTACTCAATGTAGCATTGCAGAGCGAGAAAGATTCAGATGTGCATGCACCCGCAATTGCTTATTTAACAAATTTAGCAAACCTACATTGCTCTCACTGCACGAGCTATCTATCGGCAATGTGCAAGCTTCCTTCTCGATTCCACATCATGTATTCACTTCACTTCAAGATCAACACTACAGGACAAGCGCCGCATCTTACGGCAGAATCGGACTTTTGTCCTGAAGCCACGCTATTAAACTCGAGCGCCGCAACACAATGAGAGCGACGTTCACTCAGCAATTTCGATGTTCAGTTATATGCATATGCTTGTTAGCTTTCAAGAGTCTTGGGCTGAAAGCTTTCGATATGTATGAGTGACTTGTTTTGTTCGGACCCAACCGTATACATTGATTGTAACGGCTTGGACACTCGCAATAAACGATACACACCTTACTTGATTGACGTTGTTTTTGCCAGTCGAGGCCAGCTAGGTCCACTGGCGATAATTACAGGCGCGAAACGCGATTGATTGGGCAACGAAAAAAAAAACAGAGGAAGCGAGCAGCGCGAACGAGCAAGGACCCCCCCCCCCCCACCCCCACACCTGCAGCAAAAAAATGCGTCTGTTTACTGATGATGATAGTACTACTAGCGCCATCTCGCCTCGCGGTATTGCAGTTCAGTACGCCACCGCTACGTATTTGCATGTTATTTCGATACAACAGCCCAAAGGTACAGTTTCCGTTCTCTAACTGGTAGGTGTTCTGTGGTTTAACGTCTCAAAAGCACCATTTGATTATAAGAGACGCCGTAGCGGAGGGCTCCGGAAATTTTGACCACCTGGGGTTCTTTAACGTGCACCCAAATCTGAGTACACGGGCCTACAACATTTCCGCCTCCATCGGAAATGCAGCCGCCACAGCCGGGATTTGATCCCGCGACCTGCGGGTCAGCAGCCGAGTACCTTAGCCACTAGACCACCATGGCGGGGCCTCTAATTTCTTATACTTCCCTATTAGTAAGAGCTAATCGATATTTAAGCAAAGAAAACTATAAGGGACAAAATTTGCAGTAATCATGAGATAAAATGTGAAGGAAAAGTGGACTAAAAGATAACTTGCGCTGGCAGGTGGCGAACCTGCGAATTCTGAGCAACGCCTCTGATGCTCTACCAACTGCGCCACAGCGGCAGTCGTCCCCCGTCCACTTTATGGTATATGCACGTGCTTTTAAACACGAGAGTGTTAGCCTGTACCACTGGCACGTGTGAAAAACTCTTTGTCCGTCTCTTGGTGTCACGTAGACCGTTATTTTCTTTCAAGTTGATAGCTGACCAATTATCCTCAATCATTGGCATACTACCTGCAGGCATCAAATCTGTCAGCACGACACTCTCGCTATAAAGAAGAAAAAAAGCAGTGGAAATTTAAAGGGCTGTTCTTTTTTTTTCTGAGCCACAACACTAATTAAGACTAACAATGCATCAAGACGGTGTGCACACGACAAGCATTTTCTTTTGTGGTAAACTCAATATAATCGATAGTCCACGTTAGAGGTCGTTACGTGGCAGCAGAAAGAACAAGACACGGGTTGATTGACGAATCATGAGAGACGCCTTTGCACTGCAAGGAGCGTAGTCAGGATGATGACGACGATGCCGACGACGACGACAACGACGACGATGATGATAGTGATGATGATGATGATGAATTGGTATTGCACAAGAATACGCTGAATAACAATTTAAACAGTGAAGGCGACCTACCAAATCACTCGCCATGCACATGTCGACGCCAATCGTTTTATGTCCCAGCTAATACAACCACACATGCGCGGTTGTTAGGGCTTAACCGCATGCACGCGATTTCCTAGCGACAGCGACAAGTGGCCGCGACAAACTTGCTCCGCCGTGCCGTCGCGTCGCGACGGCTGGAACCACATGTCGGCGACAAAGCATCATTGTTGCTTGAATGAAAGCTCTCACGTGCATGCGCATAAATTGCGAATAGTGGTTTAAATGTTGGTCGATGACCACATGCCGAATTTATTACTGTCTTGCGTGGCATAAGGAAGCCACAAAAGCACTGTTTACGGCCTTCTTATTTCGCAATTTTTTGTTTAACCACGACAAGCTGCCCAAAACGTGCGCTATAGACGACGGCTACGATGCACTTCGAATTATGATTTTGCATTGTAACAAGCAACCATATTGTCACAAGGTACCGTCGAGACATCAAAACAAACATTCGATAACGAGATTTACGAGAAAATACGGCCGCTTTCTCACTCCGCGTGAGATTAGAATGTAAAAAAAAAAGGTAGTCGATACCTTGCATCTTTTGAAGAACGCGCGGATAACGAGCATCGAGGGCGAATTTCAACCAAAGCGAGAACCATGGGCGGATCCTTGTTGCTGGAAATCGTCACGCTGGTTTCCGGGCGACTAGTGATCTTTTCTAGTTTTCCAGGAATGCGCGACGCGACAAATGGCGGGGACGGATGGGCCTCCGTGATAGCAAGTCTTCTCACTCGTCGCTGCTGCTCGTCGCTGTCGCAAGGAAATCGCGTGCATGCGGTTAGGGCTTTAGTGGCGAGTGCCTTGTTTCTGCTCAGCATTTTTCGTAAGTTGGCCCTGCAGTGTAATATGAAGGTATACAGAATCGGAGCCCTTGATCAAGCATAGTACCTGCGCAGCTGTCAGAATTCTTTACAGCTGTATTAAATGTGAAGTAGCTCTTCGCGAAGCAAGAGCAATTTAGTAATATCTATCTATCTATCTATCTATCTATCTATCTATCTATCTATCTATCTATCTATCTATCTATCTATCTATCTATCTATCTATCTATCTATCTTGCATCTACGTATTGCTGCTCTCGGAGTCGTCTCCTTAATTTGACATATACTAAAGCTATTGGTGGTTCATGCTCAGGAAGTAAAAACTGCGCAAATATATAGACAATGACTGAGCGAGAGACGACAGTTGCGAGTTCAGCGCCCTGCCATCTCTTCCTCCGTCCTTGTCTATATTTTTGCGCTGTTTTGACTTCCCAAACCTATATAAGGAGTGGTGATTTCAGATGATGCCATTACTAACTTGATGACGTCTCTGCCGCATACGTAATGAAACCCTTTACACTTGAGACATGTGGCGCACATCTGCAGTGCCACTGATATCCGGGCATGCACCGCAGGACGGTCACAATCGACATAATCCCACAGTTTAAGGATTTTAGCGTGAGCACTCATCCGCTGACCCCAAGGTCGCGGGTTCGATCCCGACAACGGCAGTCCCGTTTCGATGGAGGCGAAATGGTACAGGCCCGTGTATTGTGCGGTATCAATTAGAAGCCTCAATTTTGGCTGTTTCGCCCAAAGAAATAACGAGGAAAGGGGTCGAGGGACTTCTTTGCGCAAAGTAGCCGACACCATAGCTTCTAATTGAACATGAACCGAATAGCCAACAAAGTGTATTTCTGTGCCATGGCAGTGCGCGGTAAAGAACACCAGATGGTCAAGTTATCCGGAGCCCTCCTCAACGGCCTCTACACATAATCATATCGTATTTTCGGGACGCAAGACCCCACAGATTAAAAACATAACGAAATCTTAGCGTGGTGCCATGAAAGAACCTGTGTCGCTGTAATTCGATGTGGTGCGGACTTCGGTGGTGGTGTGGATGGATGTGTGAAAAGCACTTTGGGTCACGGAAACCATGCCAAAACGCAGCATTTAAAGCGACCTGAAGCCGCTATATATTGTCACGACGTGAACAGCATGTGAGGTTATTAATATGGTCAACACTTTCATCCGGAAAAAGACGCAGGTGGAGGGTGATCGCAGCCTATACAAATCCAATGAATACTAAACCACCCCGGTCCCCAGAAGTGGGTTAGTGTCTTTTTCCGCATTCAATCATCCTCATCGCCCACATGAAGCACTAGAAGAAGGATCTTCGGCCTGTCAACAGCTGCTTCGACATTCTCTCTTCGGCATGGACGCCACAGAGGACCAGGAAAGCCAGAAAACGTCGACGACGCCCTTGTCGAATCAGCGAAGTAGCCGAAGTAGCACTTCGAAGCGGCGCGCGGACGCCAGCGTCCGTCCGAAAGCTCGTTCGAGTGACAAGCGTTCCAAGGAGGCGTCCGAGAACGACAGCAAGGTCGACACCGACAACAGCCGGTTAGTTATTGGTCACGCTACTGCGACCGAAACTGAATGACAGCTGGGCTGATTCATTGCCATATAGCGCGATTGAAGAATAACTGAGCTCGTATAAGTAAAAGCATTCTTACTAACAATTCAGCCGGTGGGGCTTAGCGCAAAAAAAAGTGTGACGAATTTCATTAAGCCTTGAAGATTTTATCACGCCACATAATATACCATTGCCGCTCAAGAAGTTTCGTATAGTAGCTATAAACTGGCGATTTCAAAGCGGGGTCATCGACCGCGGCAAGCCTTACTGACTTCTTGACCATGGTCCTCAGCATCTAAAGTGTATTGAAATACATTTTATTTGATTTGCCTCCCCACGAAAAGAACTACTATTGACCAGTTATACCCAACCACTTGTCTAGTCTAGTAAAAACAATTAATGCAATCACCATAATTACAGCAATATACTGTCTTTAGTCACTTTAAGATATATGCGGCCAATGAAGCAGTAATCACGAAGGCAGTGCAAAAATGTGGCATTTTTCTCACTTTCGGGGATTTCCGGACACACGTTATTAGAAAAACCTGGTATATCTATAGACCAACTCGCAGTTAGTAATAACACAGAAAAGTTATTATAGCAGCTATAAGCAATAATGTTTCAAAACATCCGGACCCCTCTCTACGGGTGCTGACTCACGTACAAGATTCGGTGGCATTGGCAGAAATAATGTCAATTATGGCTTAGCCATTCGACAGACATGTTTCTGAACGGCAACCTCCGGGAAAAGTGCTGTACGAAGAGCGCTTCTATAAGGCCGACATTGTCCGATATTGAGAGTGCTGATTTTGAAGACGATCAACCGACTGACAGAGCGCATAGCTTATTAAGTGTAGCTGTCGCACTTTCATGGCTCCGTTTTCATGACACCGCTGATCTCCGTAGGTGGGCCAGGAGCTTTTAATCTTTGCACTCAGCGATGCCCTGGAAACTTATAGAACTCATCTGTAAAAAGCTGTCACTCATCATTCTTTCAGTTAAGACTAACTGCAAGCAACTTCGGCGCATGCTGTTAGTGTCAAGTGTGGTGACAAACAAGTACGAATCTATTTATCACCTCTGCGTAATTCATAGCTTAGCGCCAGACAATAATGAATAGCATCACGTGTTGCGTGCAGGTCATCATCTAGCACCACGGAAACACACAAGCACAAGTCAAAGAAGAGAAAGAAAAAGAAGCAAAGACAAAATCGATGGCGCCTTCGCTACGTCGAGTACGACAGGCGTGTCAGCCGTTGCTACTGCAGCCATGTTTCCGGAGTTCTCGCCGGGACCCCAGCTGACCATAACGCCTACGCCGGCAATCGACGCCGACTCCGTAAGGATCTATAGGATTCGTGTAGTTGCAATGTTTGACAAGGCATCCGTATACCTTCAGGCACGGTCTGCTGCGAGCGATAACGCGTTTCGAAGTTTTTAGACTGTGAAACCTGGTCGACATGACAAAGAAAGACATGAGGGCGTCATTAAAGAACGTAATTTTTTACTCATCGGCAGGAATTTTCGTTACGGTCAGTTTCAGAAGAGTTTTACGCGTGTCAGCATCAAGCGAAGGCAGAACTGTCAGCTAGTAAATCACCTTCGGAGCGATAATCTTGGTAAGTCGCGTGTTGACTTTAGCTTTCTGTTGAAAGCAGTGGACGCGTCAGGGCCGAAATTCACATCCTTAGTTGATTTTAAAGAGGTTATAACGCTTCGACGTTCGTTTCTTTTATTTTGAATATTTTATCACTATTTCTCGCGCTTGTTGGTTTTTCTAGTGTTCAATGCCGTTGTTTCCAAATCATGTACCGTTTTTTACAAGGATGTAGCTTTTTCTTTGTGAATATTTTTTCTATTATATGTAAATCTAATTATAGCTGTGCTGCTATGAGCTCTTGTAAATGGGGGCGGTGGGCCCGTCAAGCTGTCGCAAGACAGCTTTTATTCGCTGCTCCTCTGTCGGTTTGTTAAAGGACACAAATGAAGTTGATTGATTGATTGATTGATTGATTGATTGATTGATTGATTGATTGATTGATTGATTGATAAAAATGACTGCAGTCACAGTTTAAATAAATGCCTTCAGTTAAACTGTTGTTCTTGTGTTGTTTTTTCTGCAGCAGGGCACCAAGCCAACACCACTACTGTTGCATTCATTGGTAAGGATGTTTTCGCTTCCGAAAGCGCACTCATTTACTAGTGACACGTGTATAGACGTAAAAAAGAATGACGATGGAGATGCTTTGCAAACTACGCGTATAATAAGCAGTTTTGGGGCAGAAAGGTGAAGAAGTCGTTTTCTGTACAGCATAATTTCAACACGCTGTCTCGCGCGTTAAAAATCAGTGCTTTGGCACCATGAAGCAAGAGAAAACATGAGCTTCACCAAGGTCGTATAATGAGCACGTTAATATTCCATGATTATGAACGGTGAATAACGTAATGAAGACGTATACGAAATAACACACACGCACGCACATAGCGCAACTTTCATCAGTTTATTTCTTCTATTACAACAGCATAATAATGGGGCAAAACATGAGCACGTCTGCGGCACTGCTGTAACAAGAACATTGATAGGTCTCGTGGCGGACACCAAGGAAGTCAATTTTTTTTCTTTGTCACTGCGATGGAGAGAATGCTAATACACTCGTCACTCATCTTTTCAATCTCCACTGCTTCTCTAATCTCAAGTGTAAGTTGATTTCCATTTTTTTCCGCAGTTATCTCGTAATATAAATCAGCTTATACGTGAAATTATAGAAGCTGGGTAGTTTGAAAAGATCGGTGACAAGAAGGAAGGAAGAACAACGAGAGAGGAGGCGACCAGGCACGTGCCCGGTTTGCTACCCTCTGATTTGGCGACAAGTGTATTAGAAGAGCGGGGTGCACTTGGGATGACGTGGTCACACGCACCCTTTTGTGCGGCGGCGTTGGCTGGCTCGGTTCATCTCTGGTTAAGCAGCCCTTATCAGCAGTCTTCGCCTGCTTTTATTCGCACGTAGAACGCACGGCAGGTGGAACGATGTCATCTACGTGAGGTCGATACCGAACTTGAGGGCCACAGTGCATGACGGCAGAAATCCATTCGGAGTGTCCATACAAGAGCTATAGCAATAAACGCTTAGCAGTTGATTTCCCGCATCTCCAGAGTATATCTTGCTCTGAAAATAGAGCATCCTACTTTGTTTTCTCAGGATCAGCCGATTTCCATAAGAGCCATTGTTCCACAGACACAACTAGACACGCAGATGCGACGGGAACGGTAAGCTTTTCTACGATTTCTTGTTTCTTACTATCGTGCTTTTCATATTTGAACAGCCAGTTGCAGCCTTCCAGACTGTCAGCTTTCAGTTATCTCCTGCATTTAGTGACGTAACACGCATGCGAATGAAGCCTAGACACCAATACCTTAGATAACGGTTTGAAAAGCTTCCGCCAATAGGTAGGAATTCGTTCGGTGTTACAACGTAAGAAAAAACCAAAAGCTCCTCCCTAATAACTGAGGAGCGCCTGCAATTCATCTGTTCAAGAGAACCGTGCTGTTTGCGTTCTATAACAGCAATTACTTTTTCGCTGCTAGTGTGAACACTTTGTATATTAAAAATTAGGTGTTCTTGGTCACTGCTTAAAAATACGACGTATTCCCGGGTAGTGATGTCAGAATCTGTGCTGAGATTTGCCAGCAAGTTCAGTTTTTAGGGCAGAACGGGTTTTTTTAAAACACACACAGAGACATTCCTTAAATACTCCCCAAGTGCTTGGTGTCATGGGTGAGCAAGCGAGATTGGACGGGGCGGCTATGCGAATGTTGTTTAGTTAATTTATATGTAGGATTTAACGTCCCAAAACCACCATACGGTTATGAGAGACGCCGTAGTGAAGGGCTCCGGAAATTTTAACCACTCGGGGTTCTTTAACGTGCACCCAAAATCTCAGCACACGGGCCTACAGCATTTCGGCGCTCTCCATCGAAAATGCAACCACCGCAGCCGCGATTCAATCGCACGACCTGCGGGTCAGCAGCCGAGTACCTCAGCCACTAGACCACCGCGGCGGGTCTGTGCGAATGTTCTTTGGCCGAGAAAGCTACCTATGTGTGCGAAGCTTGCATTAATTTTAGGTTTTAACTGAATGTATATAAAAGCGTACGCGTACGCTTGTCTTTAACAGAGAGCGCATTCGTGCCGCGGTACTGGGTTCCAACGCTACAAAGAATCCACAGCAACGTTGCCGGGCGTTAGTGCTGTACCAGTTATTTTTTTTTATTCGCGCAAATAGTACTACAGAGTGATGTAAGTAACACTAACACTCATAAAAAGGCCCGTAACCAGCAAAGTTTCACTGACCCCCCCCCCCCTCTTCGTCCCCGAAATTCTGAAAGAAGGGGATGTTTTACAGAAAATAAGTAACGAAAACGATGTCTTTAAGGTCCTGAGCATGTGCGCCCCGCCCCCCTTTTCCCGAAGTAAATTTCCGGCTGCTGGCCTCTCCTATGATGATTCTTTGAAGCACGTACTAATGCATAATCATGTAAGCAGTACATGTGCCTTTTTTCTTGTCCCGCATTGCTTTTTTGCAGGCCAGTAAAGACTGATCCCAATACGTTTCTTTGAGAGAGCCGCACTGTCTGAATATACCACTGTATGTCAGGCGCACGAAAGATGACAATGCATCACAACTCGTGTGCAGGAGGATGGCGAGATTCGCATATCGGGCCGTGGTTTTTACGGTCATCGCGCTCGTTGTCGTCATCATAGCAATCCTGTTCAAGCACAAAGACGCCACTACCACTGCTCCTGGCGCTACAGCTTCCGCCACGTCGGCACTGGCTGTCAGCACCACCGAAGCCAATGGGGATCGAGTGAGAACGGTCACTGAGGCATCGACTTCGTGGACCGAGGCTCCAGCAGTACCAAGTGTCGAGGTGCGTTAGTTGCCTCGACACCTAAAGTCCGCCTCTGTGAAAGAGTGGCTGGTGCTCGGCTGCTGATTTGAAGGTCGCGGGTTCGATTCAGGCAGCGCAGTCACATTTCAACGAAGACGGAAAGGTCCATGTACTGTGTGATGCCAGTGCACGTTAAATAAAACCAGATGGTCAAAATTTTCAGGAGCCCTCCACTTTAGCGACCTTAGTAATCATTTCGTGGTTTTGGGACATAAAACCCCAGATTTTATTATTATAAGGTGTGCTATGAGAATCCGCTATCTGTTGCTATCGCGTGGTACCCTCGCGACTGTTTGCGGAATGTTTCGTGCGTTGTAGCAGCGCTACTGTGGAGTAACGGGGGTGCGAATCCAGAGTTACTTGCGAAAACGATTCACGTGAATCCAGTGGCTATTCAGTGGCTATGTTAATCAACTAGCCCATGAATTGCTTTCGCAAGCTTATTCGCAAGTGTCTCAATTTATTAGAGGACAATTACCGTTGAAGCAAGTGGCTAGTGACCATCCTTCTGGCCCTACAGGAAATCGAAAGAGTAGAGATGGGCTGGCCGCTGTAGGTTCGTTGTAAGAGGACTTTGTAAGCGCGTACAAATGAGACGTGGAAGACAAGCAAATCAGTAAATACTCGGTTTGAATCTTTCCTCGGGTGCTCTCCTTTTCACCCTGGTCATTGCGGTATATACTTTTTTTCTGTTAATCAATCAAGTTATAGTCGCCACTTGCTTGTGCAATACTCACCCATGTCTCCTTTCTTTGCGCTGCCAAGTTTTCATTGTGCCTCTGCAATGTTTCCAGGGACCGAAGAAATAAAGATCGAAGGCATCTCAGCTTTGTTTTTCACAAAGCCACTCTATGTAATGTGCTCCCCCACATAATTCCTAGTTTTCTTTCCCAAATATGGCCACTCGTAATTCACCATTCGACACCACACAATATTTATAATTGCCCCGTTTAGTCGGGCGTACGCAACGATCTTTACGTACGTAGCACGATAGGTTGGCTACGCTGAAAGCAACGCACTGAACAACGCGTTTAGTTTACCGTGTCGACCGTACCGGGATGCGTCTCGTTCAACTAGATGAATCATTTGGGAAATAAAACAGCCTTCGTGTACTTGTTAACGCCATCATGTGGTTAGCGGCCGTCATAACGGCCACTGGCATCCAAGTCGAACCGAATCGTTGGATCCACGCTTTTACGTTCTGAGCTATCTTGCAGTCTGGCTGCTCTCATTCGAGATCAATACGTAGCTGGCGCTACGTATCGTTGGGTTTGCTTGCGCCGGCTTTTTTTTTTTCTTTCTTTTTTGGGGGAGGGGGGGGTAGGGCATAGGCACGCATGCTTGGAATACATAGGTTACAAATCTCTCCCGTAGCCATGCTACGTACGTAGGCTACGTACGCCCAACTAAAAGTATCTAATAGTTCGCAGTTGCGTATATTCACAACCTGATTATTAAGTACAGTCGAATGGAGCAATAGTTTACTCGATATTCGAAAGTGTTCACTATTCAAACATTCTTACTGGCATAGCGGACTCTCAGAGCAAGATATTACCGAGACCTACAAAACAAAATTCCACTTTAGAAGCCGTTGCGCATTTTGCCATGAAGTCTGCAAATTTTGTCGAAAGCATAGTGAAGTATGATGTCATACAATCAGGCAGCGCTACGAGGTTTCGAAGTAAACACTAACTGGCTTCGTAGAAAAAAAATGAAGTTTTCCATTAAAGAACTTATTTCCTTGTTCGGTATGGACCGGGGACTAGCGCAAAAAGGTGGTCGCTCAGCCATTATTCGGGCATTGAAGCATAATACTCAGCGAGGACGATTAGTGTGTTGCATGGAACACTCAGGAATATAAGAAATCCGTTATTCGAAACCCTTCGAGGTGATGGAAAGTCCACGACAGGGGAAAACTGACGCATGGAGAAGATTGATGGTTCGCAATGACAGCATCATAACTGCTATTTACATAATCGAGACTTCGCGTGACCAAAAAAAAAAACATCATAGCATGACTGAGGCATCTTTCACCGAGCCAATGCGTTGGAGCTCGTGCTGAAATACAGAACATGGACCACGTGTAAGAGGGACACTAACGGAAGTGTCGTTACCTGTCGACTTCTTTGTTAAGCTGTGTCTCCTGACGCGTTTTCCACTCAACCTCTGAACCGTGAATTGAGCACGCTTCTGTGATAATTCATACAACGACAGCTGATGTTACATCCATACAGAAAAGCGACTACTAGTCACCCTGTTCGGCTAGCAGTATGGTGAGGAGCTACAATCATGACGCCACGTGCAAATTTACCAGTTATTTGCACCAATCTTGTCCACCCGGCAATGTTGACGACTCTACGCGTGGGCTAAACGCTCCTTCCGATCGCGACTGCAGGTAAACACCACCTCGGGCATACTGAAGGGCGCTGCGGTAGACGTGCATGGCGTGGCCCTCCACCACTGGCTCGGCGTGCCTTACTCTCGGCTCGGGGCTAGAAGTAAACGGTTCGCCTTCGCACAGCCTGTCAAGGCAAGAAGTATCCTGGCTCTGGATTCGAAAGCGGCGAGCCCTCCGTGCGCCCAGGTCATCAACGACACACTACTGGGCCGCGAGGACTGCTTACGCGTGAACGTGTGGGCGCCTGCCCAGGACTCGGCGACCGCTGCCAAGAGACCGCTGCTTCTGGCCATGACGCAGGACTGGTTCTCTAGGGGCACAAACAATTTGCTCGAATGGGAGATACTGGCTGCTAAAGGTGAGCTAGCGAGCTATACAATCCGCACTGGCGGTGATAACGAAGCCACAGGCGTATGGTCTGCTGTTGTAGGCACAGAAACGGTGGGTGCGGCAGAGAGCGAGGCAACTTCGGCGTACGTGCGCGTCTGGCGCACGCAGGGACTGTTGGAACACGTCGCACGCGATGCGGAGGCGATCTCTTGTTTAATCAGGTCTCGCAAGCTATCTTTTTCAGGAGGTAAAGTAACTTCCGCAGCACAGGAAGAGCAGCGCCCGTGCAGCTCTTCACGAACGATGTCGCGAATAAGCGCACGCAAGACGAGGGGTGCAGGCAAACGAACGTCGGTGGCATCGTAGCAAAGGCGAAGAGACTGAAGCTCGTCAAGTCGCTGACAGATGGTTATCACGTCCTGGGTGGTGGCAGGATTTTGCGTGGCGAGGGCGTTAAAGGCGACGGTGTTAATGCCTTTAATAATGTGGCGTATTTGGTCGTTCTGAGACATGCCGGTGTTAAAGCGCTTGCACAGTTCAAGGACATCCTCAATATAAGAGGTGTAAGATTCCCCCGGCAGCTGCGTGCGTTGAGCGAGTTTCTTCTTTGCTGCCTCAGTGCGAACTGCAGGGGCACCAAATATCTGACGAATTTGCTGCTCGAAAGTGTCCCAGTCGGGAAGATCCGGGTGGTGGTTCCAGAACCAAGTTTTCGCAACATCGGACAAGTAAAATGGGACGCTGCACAACTTCTGTGGATTGTCCCACCTGTTCAAATCGCTGACGAGGTCGTAGTTCTTGATCCAGTCTTCGGCATCATCGCCTCGGAAACCGGAAAACACAGGTGGATCACGCAGGCGAGTGTTGTTGGGTGGAGCGGGTGGCGGTGGCTGCAGTAAGACGGCGACGTTGGATATGCCACGGTGTCTTGGGCCGCCATGGCAGGGGGTTGTATGCGACGACCCGAGCGGAGCTCCAGCGAGAACGGGCGAGAGGACTTGAGGGAACGAAAAGCACAGTCCACCACTTGTGAGGAACCGGTTTATTCGGCCAGGCTCGAGCTAAATCACGCTGGTGATGATATTTTTAGATGAAGAAGATGTACAGGTGATGATGATTACAAGGAGAATAGAGTCATTCGCTTGTCGCGCTCACATTATTATTATTATTATTATTATTATTATTATTATTATTATTATTATTATTATTATTATTATTATTATTATTATTATTATTATTATTATTATTATTATTATTAAATCAGTGCATACTCCGAATGCAAGAAGCAACACTTTCTAATTGTCTCGTTAATGCTTCATTCCTTCCGTACAGTACAAAATGTAAAGTTGCATATTTAGTGCTATTTTCGGTCAAACGGTTATTTTTGCTGGCGCTTTTTTTTTCTTGTTGCGAAAAGGCCGACCAATAAGTTACTACAGGGAAGATATCAATGCTTCGTTCATTATTATTGAATTCCTTAATCACTTTTTTAACATATCGCTTTCGCTATTACCTTTTATTTTGTTAGGCGTATATCACCCCCATCGTCCTTATTGTTCTCTATTCTCACGTTATCACTATTCTCGATCATTTTCCGATTGACCTTACGACGCCGTCATCGAAACGCCAACCTACTTGCGCAGCCGATGCAGTGGTGATGTCTCCTAACGTGAGACTCGGCGTACTCGGCTACCTTGGCCGGACAAGTCCCGCAGAGTCGGGTGCTGACCTGGCCATCAATGACGCCGTGGTCGCTGTGCGTTGGGCGCTGGAGAATGCCGCCGCCTTTCACGCCGACCCGTCTAAACTGATGCTCGTGGGTCACGGCTCGGGCGCCTACGTTCTGACGGCAGCCGCTCAAGCGTTGAAGCTGAACTGCCTGAGAGCAGTGCTGGAAGGACCCGTCCCTGGATCTGCGTTACCGACAAATGCGGCAAGCTCTTTGAAAGTGTGCCCCGCCGCGGTGGTCTAAGGTACTCCGCTGCTGACCCGCAGGTCACGGGATTGAATCCTGGCTTCGGCAGCGGCATTTTCGATGGAGGCGAAAATGCTGTAGGCCCGTGTGCTCAGATTTGGGTGCACGGTAAAGAACCAGGTGGTCGAAATTTCCGGAGCCCTCCGCTACGGCGTCTCTCATAATCATATGGTGATTTTGGGACGTTCAACCCCACATATCAATCAATCTTTGAAAGTGGTAGAGTTAAAGAGCTCATGGTAAACAAAATTGCACTATTTCCATTTTAAAAAAAATCATGTGAGGATGCGAAACAGCGCTCGTGTTCACTTGTGTTTCCATTTGTGTTTTTCCGTGTCTGTTTTATTTGTCATTAGATTTGTGTATATGTTATGTACCTCTTATGTTACCCCCCTCTAATTTTGGTGTGTTACCGTGTGTGTGCCGCAAAATGAACGCCCAGCGCTGCTAGGAGAGTGCAACAGAGCTAGTGCGCTCAGCATTACATACGAGCACACAGCTGTTTAGCGGGAGATGAAAAACAAAGCGGAGGCAGCTCTGCCACTTCCTAGCGTGAGCGCGAAGAGAAGGCGAGAGCGCATGCGCATTGTTGGAGCGGACGGTCGCCAAGGGACGGACACAGCCCCAAGCAAAAGTTGCATATAAACAGCACGTAAATACCAAAGAAGAGACAGACGAAACAGTATAGAGCACTGACTACCAAAAACTGCGTTTGTTTCAGGGGCGAAGCTCTTTACGCCGTGGGTCGTATGTCTCGTGTCGTCGTAGTCATCGTATAGTCAGTTGCATTGGATTGCATGTCAATAAAAACAGTGTTACAGCATATCCACGGAGTGAATGAGGATGAGTGGGGCGAAGCGTCCGTCAGTCCACCATACTTCCGTGAGTCCGTACATCCATGCATCACAGCATATATCCACGCAGTGAATGATGATGAGTGGGGCGAAGCATCCGTCATTCCATGCGTGCTTCCATGCGTCCGTCCATCCTTCCGTCCACTTCGCCCCACTCGACTTTATTCATCTGGTGGATATACTATGATTTTTTTTTTTTGTCGCAGAGAAACAACATACGCTTCGGGAAACGAAACACCGGAGGGAAGAAGGAGGACTTTCCTAGCACATGCGCACAGGCCGTGCTTTGTCAAAGAAGCGTGGAACGCTCAACTGCCAGGATAGTTAATCTGTTGGTCAGTTAGTGTGATATACGGGGAGTTCGTATACATGCGCGACCTGCGACGTGGATGGAGAAGGCTATATGTTTCTCGGGCGTGGTTATGACGGTCGCGTCTCGAAGCATGTGTATTTGCACAGCGAAAATAAAGGCAGTTGTTGGTAGTCGGCGCTCTGTCCTGTTTCTTCTGTCTCTGCCTTGGTGTTTTCGCGCTGTTTGTTAGTACCAGTGTGCACCAACACACTCCAGTTCACACGTGTTTCAAGTTAACGAGCTCGTTTCGAAGAAATCCCGGAGTCGACGTTGGCGTGGGAGTAGTTATCGACACAGTTGTAATCGTTGGACGGAATCATGGGTTTTACCTTCCTTTTTAGGTGTGCGAGAAAAAAGTGCAAGTTCTCCCGTACAAGGCACTACTTGAATACTACACTTATGAGCTTTCACGTTGAGGGTAAATGAGACCCGTATGTAGAGGCTGTTCTTAATGCATACATCAAAACAAAACAGAGAGGTTGCTGCGTAGCTCCCAATTACTACGGAACAAATGGCCTCTGACAAAGGGAATGTAGTAGTCATGATACACTTAAATAATGGGCCCGTTGAGGGCAAATATTAGATAACACTGCGTGGCAAAACAAAACAGCACTGTAAAACAGGTTTGGAAGATTCAAAGTACATGTTTAATGCAGTTTAATACTGCGTCCATGGCATGCTGTGAATGTCGTTTCTGGAGTAAGCGGCGCCACGCTCCATACACTACGTATCAATATTTGTCATAAATATATTGGCTACGCAATGTCCTTACGCAATGCCATACAGAAAACTAAGGATCAAAAGAAAGTATCTCATAAACTGGGATTTCTACGTGCCACAAACTGCAGAAAATGAAGATATGAATTTTGAGGTTACTATAAAAAATACCTGGTTGATATGTGGGGTTTAACGTCCAAGAACCATCATATTGTTATGAGAAACGCCGTAGTGGAGGGCTCCAGAAATTTAGACCACCTGGGGTTCTTTAGCGTGCACCCAAATCTGAGCACAAGGGCCTACAACATTTCCGCCTCCATAGAAAATACAGCCGCCGCAGCCGGGATTTGATCCCGCGACATGCGGGTCAGCAGCCGAGTACCTTAGCCACTAGACCACTGCGGCAGGGCTATAAAAAATACCTCAATCAGTAGTTACGCTGAAATGGAATTTGAGCTCCCCGGCCGCTGCTAGGTTATAATAGACGTTGATGACATGCATACATCCAGGAGGCTGTCGACAAGTGGGACAAGTTGGCCGTGGTTCTTGGTTGCCGTGGAAACAGCGAGTCGGAGCGGGAGTCCTGTTTTCAAGACGCCGAGCTGCCAGACCTGCTTGCAGCCGCAGCGAATGTTACGTTCCGTTTCGTGCCTCGTTGGAACTCGAGCGAGTGGCCGACTGAACCCGCAGCTATTCAGGTGCAAGAAGTCATAGCTGGCGTCGACGTCGACGAGGTCAGAAACAGTCTTGCAATCACTGTGCATCCCGCAAAACAAAAAGAAAAAAAGACATGACGAGGGACACGTGACCTAAGTATTCGTGGTTGCCTTTGCTTCTTTGGTACAGTGCAGAGATATTTACGAACGTGGCAAATATTTATGCTGCCATTCATGAGAAGAAACTATGCGGTCTGTTTTAATAACGCGAGCGAATCACGTTGTCCCGGTGGCAATTGTTCCTCTGACACGCCACGGTGGTCTAGTGGACACGGTGCTCAACTACTGGCTGGCAGGTCGCATGACCAAATCCGTGCCGTGGTAGCTACATATTCTACAGAGGCGAAAAGGCTACTTGCCAATTGAGGTAGAGAGGTGGGATAGTTGGTGGCCGATCTTTATACCGTATGGTGAAGAAGCGCCCTTTTGACAGAATGAAACGACACGACACTCTCTGAACTCGCGGTTAGATTCCTATCAGAAAAAAAATGCTTCATATTTATGCACCCACGCCCCTCCCTCGAGTGACACAAAAATAAAATAAGTCAATGCAAACTTATATAATATATAGCATATTTTCCCCCTCAAGCGATAAGATATATGAGTCACGTATGGAAATGAACTTCACACTCTATGCATTTTTATCTAAGAAACAAATTTTCGCGCACACTCAAGCGAATGCGGCCCGTATATTTATATGTAGGTTCACGCCAAAGACCCCGTGTTCTCGAAATTGACGGAGCACTTCGCTGCACGGTCTCTCAAAATAATACCGCGGTTTTGAGACGCAAAGCCCCAACAATATTATCATTATTCTGCAGGGGCGGACAGATTCCTCAAATGTGCATTTTTTCTTAGCCACACTTATAAAAAAAGAAACATGGATGATCTATCTAAGACCGGCTAGACACAAAAGTGAAGCATATGTCTTCCCAGAGGCAGTTGAGCATTTATTGTACAATGTTTCACCAAAATGGCGAAGGAATGAATGCTACAGAACGGCACCCAGCTACAAACTTGCAGCGCGCACCTCAAGCACAAAGTACGCATGAAATGAGCATGACGAACGCGGCTAACAACCGTCACAGCTCGGCACTTGAAGGGCAGTGCACAAATACAAATAAAGGCGCACGAAATGAACGTATAAGTCAACAAAGGATGTGCGCGAACAACTGTCACAATTCTTGTTGGTGTGTGAGCAGCGCACTCCTTTTGTGAACGCGGCCGCGGCAGCGAGCGAAGTTACATTTGTGCTTTTTTTTAACACTGTAATTTCAAAACTAACTTGCAGTGGAGACACAAGACGTACAAAGCGTCGCGATCACAAGATAAACGCACCCGTATCACAATGCGCGAGGCGACGACCTTTAGAGCGCGTCTCTACGCCATCTCGCTACTGATGACGGAAACGCGCTGATGTTGCTGAGCTCTGAGGACCGCCAACGGTATATCGTGTATATAAATAGCTGATGGTCAGCAAGCTGGACATTGTACGTACTGTGGCTTAGTTGATTTGCTCCGCGCGCTGAGGAGCGAGAAGCATGTCGACGCCCGGCGACGGAACGTCGTCGCCTCGTTTTCTTCTTTGAAATCTGTTAGTTTATACTTTACAACGTCATATTCATGACGGAAGTGCGTCATCGTAGCCTCAAACATAAAACGCTCTCGCGTTAAAAAGTTTAGTGTATTTTGAGCGCATTTTCTGCACACCACTAAGGTTCTATTCTAGCTCGCCCATGTTTGCTTTTAAGTGCGGGGCATTTTAGGGTCCCGAGCGGTCGTATGATGTCGAATGCTGTAAGTGTATGCTGCCGCTTGGCGTAATGCAGGCAAAACTACGATTATCATGGCCATCTGTGGCATATATAGAGTACGCATACACGTACTCGCGCAAGAAGAAGTCTTCTTTCGCTTGTTCTTCGAGCTCTTTGGTGATTGTAAGTGCAGAGCACTTTTAAGGTAATGGGCCGTCGTATGCTCTCGCATGCAGTCGTCGCTTGGATCATTTGGCGTAACGCGACAACGACGCATCAAGACAAAAAAAACTGAAAAATTTAGAAGCAAGATAAAATAGAAAAATTAATATTAATGAGAAAATTGTAAAAAAATAAAGTTTCCTTCAACCTTCTTCGTGAACCTTTAGTCAGAGCATTTCATGCGACTACTATGGCGTCACCACGCGCAGGTTCGCCCCGCCGCGGTGGTCTAGTGGCTAAGGTACTCGGCTGCTGACCCGCAGGGCGCGGGTTCGAATCCCGGCAGCGGCGGCTGCATTTCCGGTGGAGGCGGAAATGTTGTAGGCCCGTGTACTCAGATTTGGGTGCACGTTAAAGAACCCCAGGTGGTCTAAATTTCCGGAGTCCTCCACTAGGGCGTCTCTCATAATCATATAGTGGTTTTGGGACGTTAAACCCAACATATCAATCAATCAATCAATCATGCGCAGGTTCGGGTGTTCTTTGAAGAACGCGTCAAGCCGTGGGCCGTCACGAAGAAGTGCGCTGCCACGGTGACTCAGCTCTACGGTTGCACACTCGAGTACCTCTTCACAAATCGAACAGCCGCGTACGAGAACCTACTGCGGGAGTTCCAGCCGAACAATGAACCAGACATCGTGCGCTTCCTAGCGATGCTCATGTCTGGATGCGACACGCACCGCATAGCAAAGAGCGCCTCCAAGGCGGGCTATCACTACATCACCGAAGGGCCGGGAAGGACACTCTTCGAACCTGTCCTTGACGTAGATGTCCTCATAGCGTTTCTGAAGAACGGGTGAGTGTAGGTCTTCCGGAGTGTATGTGGGAGATTCGGCGCACTAACAAAACTAAGTAAATAAATCACCGTGTAATTTGGGACCGAGGAAAGTTGAATCATTAGACACCAATTCGTGAAAATCTCCACGGTCTTTATTTTCGTATATTTGGCCGCCTACATCCGCCATATTTGTGTTTGTCGTTTTCTAATTACCTTGGGATGTTCTGGGTGTTTTGTATGCGAGACACGCAATTCCGTGCTCCTATAGGTGTGCTGACAGACGACGACGCACGCGAAAAAGATGAACGACGCCGTCCCGATGTCTATACTGCCAAAAACAGAGCAGGAAAGTGTGCAAGCATAGGTTTTCTCACAATAAAATAGGCGTGGCTTTGTAAAAGGAGGAAAGCAAAAGAAAGAAAGAATAATTATATATAGATTCATTAGATTGCGCTGCTAGTCTTGACAAGCCAACCTGTTTTGAAGACAGCAGCGTCGGCCCAACAAGCGACCTTTTTGCATCAGAACCACAGAAGAAATGGGATTTTCCGAAACCTAACTCAGTGATATCGCAGGAGGTACCTTTTAATCAAAGCGCTCTTGTTCGGCGCAGACCGACCGGCTTATGGTGGAGGTTCAAAAACAGAACTCAACCTGAAGAACTAAAACCCATTGCAAGCTCTGTCATCTTCATCCTATTTTGGGCCGACACATTGGTTTTCCGGCGTATTGCGTCACTCTTCCAATTTTCTTTTTCTTTTCCCCGTGCTTTCGTATCGCTCAGGTTGCAAAGTCATGGGTGAACGTATTCTCCAGAAAAAAAAAAAAAGCTGTCGTCGGTAAGAATGAAAGAAACACAAACGGATATATTTCTTGCTTGTTCATGATAGTTCTTCGTCGATCTAGGCGTCGCGTCTAAAGTGACGTTGCAAGGAAAGGTACACGGAACGAAAAAAAGAAAAAAAATCGGCAATCTTCGTTTGATTTCGGATCAGAATATATACAAAACTGTGCATCGTGTGCCGTTGTTCCATCATTATGTCTGGATCCACTCAAAAGTACTAAATGGGCCAGGAAGCATACTGCCACTCACAATTTCTTTGTTGATTGCACGCATAGGTATTTTTCACTGACAAATCCGACTTTTCTTTTAAGGTAACTAGATATATCTGGCCTAGCTCCGCAAAATAACCTATTTCGAGCGATGTATATCTTAGCTAAAATGGCTTTTGAGGTCATGGTGGGGTCGCACTTTTAAACATTACTTTCAAAGGTTTGGCTGTATACATCAGTAGTAGTAAAATCAACGTTTATAAAATGTCCATGAATTTTGCAACCTAGACTGAGCTTTATTGCAGCCTAGAGTTAATTTTTATACGTATTTTAGCACTGTTTTTTTAGTTTTTTACATATGTTTTTTGTTACGATCTACCATCCACGGAGCAATGGAGTTTCCTACAAAAGTAGCAACCAACATATTACAAAACAAACAAAATTGTGAGTGTATGATGACAACTAGATTTGTTTTACTTTTATGCGCTTGTGAACTAATGCATAGAAATTGCAGCTTATGAAAAAGGTTTTTTTTTCGAACTCAAGAGATTATAAACGCGTCATGGTTACTGATTATTCTTCCAGTTTGTAATTGCGAACACATAACGCTCGTGAGAATTTTGTTCGCTTATGTCTCATAGTTCCCGCCCCGCCGCGGTGGTTATAGTGGTTATAAGGTACTCGACTGCTGACCCGCAGGTCCCGGAATCGAATCCCGGCTGCGGTGGCTGCATTTCCGATGGAGGCGAAAATTTTGTAAGCTCGTGTGCTCAGATTTGGCTGCACTTATAAAGAACCCCAGAGGGGCGAAATTTCCGAACCCTTCCACTACAGCGCCTCTCATAATCATAAGGTGGTTTTGGGATGGCATACCCCACATATCAATCAATCAATCATAGTTCCCAAGAAAAAAAATGTGATCAAACCTTCAACATTTGTGTTCTTAAATGAACGCAGAAATCGCATAAATGTACACCAACGTTTCTTATAGCCCTGTCGAAGAAAAGGGACAAACATTTGCTTTTGAAACTGCGAATACCCAAGTGTCACAAATTTTCTGGAGGCTAAAGTAGTTCTTTGTCATAAGATTGCAAAAATCTCAAAACTGCATTCTTTGATGAAACGAGGTCTCACCCCACCTCAAAAGTACGACATACCAGAGTAAAATTAAAAAGAATGTTATCTCTCTTTAATGATTATAATAACCAATTCAATCACAATAAACCTTTTTGATGGCTGTGGTGTTTAGCCGTGAGATAAGTGAGACACCTATGTCAATTTATGATGTCTAATGGTAATGCAGAATGGTGTGTCTAATGGTATAAAAGATTTATTGCATCTTAATCATACCACTCTTACATACTGATTTACCAAGAAACGGTCACTTGAGATGTTTCGATTCGTTGTATCACTGCTCTTTATAAATACTCTTAGTCATGTTTGACGTGGTAGTATAGCTGCCACCTTTTATAACCACAAAGTATTACGTGGCACTGATGTGGCTATTGCAACGCGACCATGTACGACTTTTTTTTTCGGGCTGACTGTTGACTTCCTTTTCAGTGAAAGTTGTGCGTAGACTGATTTACCCCATTTTTGTGGTACAAACACTTTTATGATGATGATAGTTTTCTAATGGGCCACGCAGGTTATTGTGGCACATTACCGTTTTTTTTTTCTTCCATCTGTTGCCTTCGTGTTTACTGTACAGGTGGTGAGCAATGCGACTTACCCAATGTATGTGGCGCATATCTGTTCATGCCCACCTGCGTTACCGCAGATGCCGGACATGAAACACTAGACCAGAGACTGCTTTGCACGCTAAAAAGCAAACTGTATAACTGTTGTATGTCGCGTTGTCTGAGTGTTCTTACTGAAATCACCATCAGTTTCATGTATCCCTTCTATTCTATTGAACCTACTTTGTCATTTTCATCTCTAATATGTTTTCTGCTTACTCCTCATTCAGGACAGTGCCAGAGCTGAAAGGCAGCGTTGTCTGGCACCCGATGACGCCAAGCGATCAAGCGAGTCGTGTCGTCTTAGCCAACGGCACCGACGTAATGGACAGCAGAACAATTTCTGAAGCGTGCCACTACACTTTCACTGGCTCTGCTACACGAACGAAATGAAAATCTGCAAATTTTTAGTCACAGTAATTCCCCACCTGTTGATGGGGTCTTTTTCAGGAGTCTGGACGTATAGTTGTGGCACGCGTGAGAGAAACGTCACGCTTCTAGAACTCTTCAAAAGCGTTTTGTTGCGTACCCGCGAGCACTTGCCATTTCATTTTTCTGCGTCACAGCTCTTCCATGACGCATACTTATATTTTCATAAGAAATACGTCGTTACGTTTGTATGACCCGTCTTTCCTATGTTCGATAAAATGACAACAGCATATGATAATGTATATTGTATAACAAGAGCTTTCAATTTTGCTATTGGTGAATTCAAAATGCCATGGAAGTAGATCATGATCGAGAATTAAATACGAATCCTAAACTATAACCGGCAATTTAACTTAAACAACAGTCTAATAGATGTTTTGTTTACTGTAACGCAGTATATAATTAATAATCAAACATTTGAAATTGCATAATCAAATGCTGATTTATTAAGCATATATACACATAGTTTGCATTTTGTGTGTTATATTATCACTTGTAAACACACATCCTCATTATTGGCATACCTTCAAGCTGTTAGCCGTATAGAGCCGCGAAAAAAAAATCTAGTTACCATAAGAATGGCTCTTCTGTATCGATTCATCTCATGCTTGTGCATTTAGACGCTGATGTGACTGTTTACTGCACTTTAATGGCTTTGTTTTTTGGGGAATCGCGCTTTCCGAACACTGGGTGCTATAAGACACTTTGAAGGTGCAAGACGGCACAGCAAATTGCAGCATTTACAGCGCTTACAAGGCTATATTTTATTATGATAAGTTGGCGAAGTAGCTAAATCTATACAAAGGTACATGGCTCAAGTTTTGGCAACTCTGTGCGAGCAGCAGCTATTGTATACGTTGCTTCAACAGCCGAGCTTGCGGCTCCTCTATATTCTTGCACCAGAGTCCCCTTTAATTACGTAGTAACTTCTTTGGTAACTGACATAGTAGACTTGCACCTCCTGTTGCAGACCACTGTAACAGGAGTGCGACTTAGCTTGTATTCGCAACTTGTACTGCTCAATTCAAATGGTTTGGTACTCGCTCCGATTCGAAAGCTACACCTACCATTCGAGGCATATTCTCAAGACATATTCAAAACATGTTTTAGAGCCCCGATGTGGCATTACAAAAATTTTAAATAAGCCAAAGTGGTCAGTGGTATCACCGAGGTGATGATACAAACTTCATTCTTGCATTATATCTTCCGCAACGACCTGCATCTACCACAACACCCTAGGTATGATTGATTGGATCTACCACAACGCTCTAGGTATAATGGGTTAACAATTGAGAAAGTTTGAAGTTTGGGGTTGTGTGGGCAGTCGTTTCAGAGAACCCTTCGGGTGTGCGCTACATAAAGCAAGTGTGTGCCAAGCGAGCCTTAGCATAGCATAGCTGTGCACAGTGTAGGAAGGGGGTGGAAAGAGGTGTTAATGTGAGGTGAAGTGACGGAAGGATGAGGAGGAAGGCAAAAAAAAAGTGGATGAATGTAGCCTCACGTAGTATAGTTCAGCAAGGAGCATATCATAGCCATGCATGGTAAGGTGTTGGTGAAGGGAACCTAGGAGTGATGTAGAGGTGGGGAGCAAGAGGAAAAAAGGGAAATCATGGCATAGACATTTGTAGTATAGTTTAGCAAGGGAAGGGGAAAGGTAAGTGAGGGCGATGAGGAGAAGGGAAAGAAGAGAAAAATGAAGGGTGAAAATGTGGGTGTGTGCCAAGCAGCGCCTGGCAAAGCATGGTCATATATATATATAGTGTACTATACATAGTGGGGGAGGAAAGGAAGCGAGGGTGAA